TCCTGCTGCATAGTTAAGTGGAGATATGCCAATGGTCTATGACAGAACAAAGCCTGGTTTGGATGACTTTAAGCAGCTTATCTAAGAAGATAATTCCCTGGCAGACCTATTAGAGAAACACATGAATATGTTTCTCTAAAGCCTTAACATGGAACAGGCTATACAGAAAGCAGACATAGGATAGGAGGACCTATAGCTGTGTAACAAATCTCAGCTCATGCAGCCTGTCTCACCCTATTGCAGGAGAAGTCTGCCTTTTCCCTCTCCCCACATCAGCAAGGAACACCTGATCCCAGACTAAAACCTGCAGTTTTAAGTGAAGAAGAGGGCAGGTGGAGACACAGCATGACTGCTCAATCAACTGAATCATACACACTAAGAGACAGAACAGAGAATGGAGCAGAACTGAGAAAGCAGTGGTGATAAACAGGAAAGCAGGATTCACTGCCTATGAAATCACATCAGAACATGGTGAGAAGTCCTGGCAGAGATGCAGACATCAGTGACATAACCATCTTCTCCCAATTAAAAAGTGTTCTGGTGGAAGGGTTCTGGGTTTTGGTGTTTCAGGGCTTGGGGTTGTATTTTTTTTTTTGGTTTTTAAAAACTCAGCAATTAATTATTCTTGGTATTCCAGACGCTTCCCAACTCTGCCAGCCATGCTGTGCCTTTCCATTCTTAGGACCTGGTCTTCACATTTCCACTCCTAATACCTTCCCTTCCCCCAGATTATGTTCTTCCCTTTAGCTGGTACAGAAAAATAATTCACTCCTAGGCTCTACAACCCAGAGGATGCAGCACAGCCTTTTCTCAGGAGAAGCAGGGAAGCACAGAGCTTCTGTAAATGTTCCTTTTGTAAGTGTGCTGGGGAAGTGACTTCCCAAGAACAAAACACTCAGTTGTGAAACAAGGATTACTTGAGAGCTTGCCAATAAGGGCACACGGAGACTTAAGCAGTGGCAGGAATACTTTGGCCAAGGAGTTCCAGCAGTAGCGATGACACAAGGGTGGAGAACCCATTGCTCAGTGGGTCAGCTCCAATATTTTGCCTTGGTTCCAACTCTCTGTCCTTGAACATGAAGGTCATTGGTAGAGCAGGTAACTCTTGAGGGAGGCTGGCAGTGGCAGTGTAGGGATCTCATTCAGTCTTTCCTTGCCCAGAGCAAGCCTCACAGCTCGCCGACACAAGTCCATCAAAGGCAGTGGTTCAGCTGGGAAAAGAGACCCGAGACATTAACATCCCAACCCACAAGTTACACACGCATTTTGCTAGTTCTAAAAATCCCCCAGAAAAAGATTGAGCGAGAAAAGTGAATGCCTGGCATGTCTGCAGGACCCAAGCTATTCAGCATTCACATATCAGCAACTGCAGCTCAAATACACAGGCAGAACATGTTTCTGTAGAGGTTATTTAAGCCATACTTGTGTGTGAACGAAAAAAAATACTAGAATCCCTTAATGAAAATTTCCCCCCTCCAATACCAGTCATTCAAGTCAGAACGCATCTTCTAGCCTGTGCCTCTTATTGCAGTACCTGAAAATCTTTGTAAGAGATTCACTGAAGTAGAAGACTGCAGCAAACAGTTCGATAGCATCATGTGGCATGGGTACCCAGGAAGTACCATGGTGTGTCTCTTACACAGTAGGGTAACAGCTGTCAACCCCTCCATTTGTACTACATACTTCCCAGGAAAAACAGTCACCCATCAAAACTTCGTGTCACTATTTGTATTGTGACAGTTTCCATTAGAGAATTCCCTCCTGGGTCATAAACCTGGGAAAGATACAAGCCTTTAGCTATCTTTTTTGCATCCTGTATTTGTAAAACACCGAACAAGATAATAGTAGTTTTTCAGGTATGGCATATAGGGCCCTTTGATGCTGAAGAGTCATTCACAACATACAGGGGACTAAGGTCAAAGCCAGAGTTAACACATTACAGCTGCAGAGAAGGAAGATACAGATTAGTTTCTCACAGCTTCTCTTGCTAAGTCTGTCAATGCTCACCTTTACACAGCATGCTGCTCAAGCCTAGGGGCTTCTCCTCCCCCAGGAGAAGGCTAACACAAAGACATCCCAAATTACGCACATAACTGGACATCCTTCTAATAGCCTGAGGGTTCAGCATGCACCATTAGAAAGCTTCCTTTACAGATATCTCAGGCTGAACAGACACCTAAAAACATCCACAGGAATGGAAGAGTCTGGCTGAGAAGCTGCAGTTTTCAGGAACCCTGATAGATGCCAACAGGTCTAGCTTCCACTACTACAAGCCAAATTAATCTGACTGTTCATACAGCTGTTTAAACAGCTGAAAGACAGGAAAAGCTTAGTTTCTGAGCATGGGCATGTTACTGATTTTTTTTTTTTAACCAGAATTAATTCCATCGATAATGTGGATACAAGTCCCTTCCTCCCAGGTTCAAATAAAATGGCTAACACTGAAAAGCTCAAACAGAAGTGTTGTCAGTAGCCTCTCATCAGGCTACCCCTGATGCTACTTCGGAAAAAGTAAACAGTCATACTGCTTCATGTAGAAAACACTTCCAATGAAGAGTGGGGAAAGCTAATTTTTAATCTAATTTTTGGCAAAAAGTCTGTGAGAAGGAGAGTTAGCTGAAGAGAGACTTGGTAACAACATCAGGAAACGCACACTTGAATTGGTCTGTCTCCTCCTCAAGTTAGCAGCCAGAGCTTAACTAATGCCCCATTTTCCTCCAGCTCCTTCCCTGTGATGGATCACAAGCTATTACCTGCTCCAGGGGAAGCTGCAGTGGAATGTTTTTTCTAGCAGTTCTCCAAAAGTTCTCCCAGTGCTTCAAACATTAATTATTCCTGAGGAATCATACCTCTATACGCACAACTCTTTTCACACTGATGGCTGGGTGGAGAGCAGACAGATCTGTCAGGGCAGTGCTGTTCCTTCCCAAGCCCCACCATCTGTCACACATTCTGTGCCATAAGTGAAAACACAGTTGCACTCAGCCCAAGGTACTGCTGGTCCTGCCTGCCATGACCCACTCCAGGACCTGTGCCACCTCTTCTGCAGGGACAGGTCTTCACAGCTGGACTGCATGTCTCAGCTCTGGCTGCGATACTGCCAGAGAAGTCTATTACTGGCAGCAGTCCTTTGGCACTTCCCAGTGTAGCTTACTCTTAAACCAGTGGGGTACAAATATGCTGTATTCATAATCTGTCCCAATTCTTCCTGCTCCATAGGGAGATAGCTGGGACAGAGGTATTGTCTAGCCGGCATCTCAGAGGACAAGGGGCCTGACCTTCAATGCCTGTAGACATTAACATAACAAATACATTCCAGTTTAATGGCCTTAAAAGGAAAGATCTTCTTCCCACAGAGATTAAGAACAAGAACTTTGTCCTCATCTAGTTTGCACTGATAACCCAGTCTGACAGGAGACCAAAAGAGAAAGCACGCACATATCTGACCTCCTTCCATTCACAAGCACTACAATCACTGGACAGTGTTGCTATTGAATGCTCAGAAGTGGTTAGAGCCAGACACCTTCTTTCTCTCTGTGCCAAAATAGCGTCCCGTCATTCCTGGCCTTATGCCCATAATTCACTCCTATGCTGAGAGCACATCACAACCAAATCCAATACTGGAGGTGGCCGTTTCCTTGCTAAGTGCAGTTCTGCGCCAACAACTCCACAGACTTGCTGGCTTTGAGAAGAGCTGCAGATTTTGGCTTTGACACTTCAGAAAAACCCGGTTACTGGAGCTGCTGCCATTCTGTAAGCTGTTGTGGCAGAATGAGTTAGGTTTCTTTCTTTTGGTGAGAAAGTGCTCTGCCAAGAGCTCTGTTTGGTCTTGCTGAGTTGAAGTGTATTTCTCAAAGCACTTGTGGATTTTGCTCCTATCCCTTTGCAAGGCTTTCCTGGTTATTCTGAAAGCTCAGCTTTTCTGGTGCCCAGTGTCACTTTTGTTGTACCTCATGTCACCATTGCCAGGGGTTTGCCATTGCTGGCCAAGCATTAGAACGTGTTCTAAGCACAAATAAAAGAGCCCAGTATGCTGCAGCCTTTGGGCAGACACTGTTCTGGAATGCAAGGGAAACACTACTCTTCATATCAATACTGCCAAATTTATTTCACTAACAACATAAATCCAGATTTTAATCCACTTCCTTCACCTCTTTCCTCCACCCTACCCAGAGGACTGAGTCACAGTCTGGCCCAATGGGAACTTCTGACTATGAGAGATAACAGACTTTAGCACATTTGAACAGCCAAATTTATTACGAAGCTTAGCTAGAGATTGATGTCCCTATTAGTAAAAGGCCTGGCATGCAAGCTGGGCTGGCTACAATATCCAGCCTCACGCTAGAAATGAGTACACCCTGCCCTGAAAGAAGCAGAGAAGTGAACTACTTGTTTGAAAGATGAGACATTCCCATTTCCTTAGATAGGGACAGATCTTCTCACTCTTGCCCGCACAGGATTTTAAAACTCCCTTCACTAGCCATTTAAGGAACCTGATTGTCCCTCAGAGGCTGCTTCCTGTAAAGAGACACCAGGATTACATTGCCAATAATGCAACTGTCAAAGACATTGCTACGGATACTTTGGTAGCAATATAGAAAGGTTTGTCATCTCTAGACAGACAACTGGCATCACCATCTCCCACCATATTAACTCCCCAAACCCTGCTTGCTCCCTGCAGTGCCTTGGTAACAGTACATGTGTAGAGCCAGACAAACTTTTTGGATTAGCCACTAAGGATTTGGAGCTGTATCCAGCAATCCTACTGCTGACATTAAATCCTTACCTCTGTAGAAAAACAAAAACCCTCCCCAGGATGATCTAGTACACCTGCACTTAAATAGCACACAGATCTGTACTGCTAGAACAAATACAGGGGGTTATACTCACGGTCAAGTCCATTCAAGTAGCGCATCCGTATTTCACAGTGTCCCCACACTGCGCTTACCACCGGATATAGCTTTTTCCCTTTGAGTCCCCGAAATGCAACACCCATGTATTGCCCATCTACAATGAAGCTCAGTGTCCCGTCATCCATATCCAGAACCACCAGGAAGGAGTCCGGCACAATGAAAGTTTCATCGGGTTCTAAAAAGGCAGGATAGGTTTTACTTGGCTGGTTCTTGCCATCGTGGTACAGTCTGTTGCGCCCAAGGTCCCAGCCCCAGGATTCATGGTTATTTCCTACAAGCGTCGGGCACCCTACTGAATGCAAAGGGGGATCTGCTGTTGCCACCCCGACCACAGCATGCGTGCCTCGCTGCCTCATTGCCCACGTGATCTGCCACACGTGCAGTCCTCGTGTATATCCCACTTTGCCTCTGATAGCATCTGTACTCTGAGCCACCGGATGCCGGTGAAATATGAGTTTGTCATCCTCTTTCACAAAGACATTCAGAGAGCGATCATCATTGTTCCATGAATGCAATAACTGGACTTCATATGATACCGGAGGCATGTCCAGCAGCAAGTCTAAACGTGTGGGTTTGCTGTAGTCAAGTCCTTGGAGTTCCTGTTTCAATGGCCTGTATACAGGGTCCCTCATATCCACAGTCTTTATCCCACCTGTGACCTTCTGACCCATTGTGTGTTCTGATTTTGCCTATTTATAGGCTCCCAGGGCAAGCTCATCGATTTACCCAGCCGATCCTGCTGTCATTCAGCCCTACAGAGAAAGTTGCTAGGAGACCTTGTCAAGACGTGCACCAGTCAGCATTGCCTAATGGATGGAAAGAAAAACAAGAGACAAGTTAAACATTAGCACATACAGCCTTGTATGCAACATCACAGAGCACAGTTTTAGTCTGTTTATCCTGACATCTTGTCCTTCCTTCCCACCAGCAAGGAAGGGTAACACATGCTACTTAAGCAGTATACCCTGCAAAGCAGAGACAGCATAGAGATCAAGTCAACAGGTATTAAGTTTCTAATACCCCCTTCAGAAAGGCACTTGCATTTCTGCTTCTTTGTCTAAGGAAGGTATAGATTTAGCCACCAGAGCTCATAATTTCTTTATAGTGAATGCACTGCTCCTTACTACTGCACCACTAAACCTTAAGAGAGCACATCTGTATTTAGGCTGCCTCCAGCAAACCTTGTTTTTACATCATGATCACCTATATGTTGTCCAGGCTGAAAAATTTGAGAAAAGAGTTTCTTCAATGCAGAAGACTCAGAACCCACTACATAGTAATGCTTAAGACTTAATTGTTTCCCGATTGTCTTCTGTTGGTAGGAGGACTGAAAACAGCGTCTTGTATAAGTGTGATTTTGCCTCCCAGCCCTAGTTCATACCACAAGGTCAGGCTGAGCAAGACATCCCAGTGAAGGCCCAGGTTGCCCACTGGTGTTCACTGCTCCAGCTCTTTCCAACCACCATGGAGAACTTCTCCTGCCACAGCCATCTCTATAGCTATCCACAACGGAGCCAAAACACAAAAGGCATTTAATACTCAGAAAAAGCATCTAAACAGCATCAGTCACTTTCTCAAAGACAGACCTATGTTTACAATTGCATTGTCTTTGGACTCTGTAGTAACACGCTACAGCTGACTAGTAGTGAGGGACTGGCTTATATGGCTAACAGCTCTGCAAAGCTCTAGTCTGAGCTGTCCCCAGCAAGAAAAAGTGGCATGAAAGAGTGAATTAACTTCTCCCTCTGCTGCTCTAGAGAGGCTGGAACTAGCCTTCAGTGTGCAAAACATTCATAGGTATAGCTTCCACTATAGCAAAAGGAAAGCAGACTGCATTTCAGCAGAGATGTATTTGTGTTCTAGCTCAAGAAGAGGATCACAGACTGGCAAGTAGAATGAACACTACAAACAGGCCTAGTACCTGCAGCTTATTCACGTAACACACTACATCAGCACTTTGTGTCCTCCTAGCTGGTACTCCAGTGCTTCCTTTGCAGTACTCCCAGATCTGACAGACATTAGATGAAGACAACTAGGCTCCAGCCTTCCTTTTTTGGCTGACAGTTTAAATTAATGTTCTTGGGGAACCTCTAGAATGTGAGCATCCCCCTAGTGTAAAGGTTACGTACTGGAAAGACATACACACACACACACACACACACAAGCATTGCCTTTTGTTATCCAGCCATAAATAATTTTCTTCCCTCAGCACAAACAGTTCCAAAAGAAAAATAAAGCACTGAACACAAACCATCTCCCCATATCAGTGATCAAACAAAGTAGGAGCCAGGCAATAAAAATGAAAGCTTTTCCACCTGGAGAGTTACAAACCTTCTACAGATCAGCTGGTAAAGCAGCTAGCAGCCACTGATACAGGTTCAAGGAAATAATTCTCCTCAACCCCACTAAGGCTTTGCTAAGTACCTTGGAAACCTGAATGCAAGTCCAAAACAGCAGACAAAACCCGCTGGGTCCAGCCTTGGGGGACACCCATTCCAGCAGCTATTGATACTACTGTCCCCACTGAATTACTGTAGTCAAGAGAGCAGATAAACCTGCTGTATGGTTTGTCTCAATGAGCAGCTTCTCTTCAAGAGGAAAAAAAATCACCAGGTTCAGACACAGAGTCCAGGGGGAGGAACAGGATTCTTCTCACAGTTTAGCAGTTTTCCTTCCAAATTTCAGAGGAACCTCTAAAAAGTTTAAGCCAGCTTGGCTAGCGATACTAGTTCACTTTGCGTACCTCTCCTCCAGCACTACATCCACCAAAGTGTCTCTGCTCTCACTCAGCAACACAAACAACCCTCTGTATGACAGCTGCCAAACTGGGGGCAGCTATTAGGAGAATTAGAAGTGGGAGGGGAGCGAACTAGCTTTCTAAGAAAAAAAGTGTTATTTTAACATTTCCTGAAGTGAGGCAATCACGCAGGGCTCCTGCCAGCTACAGTCACAACACTTACTCACAACCAAGGACCTCATCTGGCATAGGAAACAGAGCATGAATCAGATCTGGTTTAAAAATAAGGTTACTGGACATAAGCAGCAAAGCTTCAGCTAGAAGGTGACAGGGAAGGCTCATGTATGCTCTGGGTTAGGGAACAGTTTACCAGCTTCCCTACGGGGTATGTCATTGGAACAGCAAGCTCAAATCTTGTAGTTCTTAAGTAAAAAGAAACAAGACTACTTTTCCTTTGTCTCCTTTTTTTTTTTTTCAAGTATGGAGAGGAGAATGCCTGAGGTTCTTTAGAAGACATATGCCAATGCACGTTACCAAGCAGCAGTATAGCTATTTCAAACCATTCCGGGACCTCAGATGTACAGCACTGACAGACAGGGGATGGTTCATTAAACAACTGCCATTTAAAAAAGGTCCAATCACATTACCAGCTGGTAAGATAACCAAGACATCCTGCAAGTTAAATAAGTACCATCCACAACATCAAAACAAATCCTGAATTATGTAAGCCAGCTGGTCAACAGCTGAAAATAAATAAGGAACAGTTAAACCAGTTGAGGGACAGCACAGTCACTGGATGCCAGTGCATCACCCTCTCCCAATACATTATTTAGTTGTTCTGCCCCACAGCTCAGGTGCTTGGGCCCAAGTGTTTCCATGACACACAGGCACTCCCAGCCTCTAAGGGCACAGGATCCCTTGCTCTGTAAGCCTAAGCAACAGCAATATCTCAAACCAAGGGATCCCAAGAACAAGCTGATACAGACACGAGCTGAGCTGCTGGTGTACAAGTTCAAGTATACTGTTGGAACTGTCTCCCACAGACTTCGTCACAACATTGCAATAAATCCTACAAACCCACCTAGTAAGTTGCTTGATCTACTTTTTCAATTCAGCACGTGTTCTGCATGCAGTTATTCAAGGGTTTGATAGCAGATACTCCTAATCATCCCACTATCCCATCTTTAAGCCTTCATGCCTGTGTGTACTCAAATTCTCAGTTTTATACCTCAGAGCTGACACCAACTCTGTTATGAAGAGATTTGTTAAGTCACTCTTAATAGGTGTCTTCCCTGGGAAAGACATTAATGCTGACCAGATGCAATAATTTTTAAAAAGTTTCAGTGCAAGTCACTTGCTCAGGCTCGGATAAAGACCATCAGGCTGCTGAGATGGAGCCAAATGATGTGGCGTTCTACAGAAAGCACCAGATGAACGACCTGGCATTCCCAAGGCCTACGGGATACGGACAAACAAGGTGCTGGCTAAAGCGCAGTTGGAAGTCTACAGGCAAATTCAGCTGCTGGAACTTTGATTAGGGTAAAGGAACAAAACATTGGCAGAAGGAGGAAAGGCAGAGATTTCCTGAGAGCTGCACAGTTCATGGGAGAACACGGCATAGGAAGCAAGAACCAAAACAAAGCAGACTGCCAGACTGCAGGAGTACTGGTGCGGACTGCTTTGAAGCACAAAATGCTCAAGAGAGAAGACTAGGATACAATTCTGTGCTGTTCATTAGCAAAACAATGCCTCATTCATTATGCCTTTTTGCCTTTTGCCAACATAAAAGCTTCATCATATTTCTCTCAAGGCTGATGCACCATTAAGGGGATCGACAATGAAAAAGAGGGACTTCTGAAGCACATGGGATAGGGATACCATCTCACTGCCTGCTCCAAAGAGAAAGCAGCCTTTCCTGAACACAAGCACCACTCATCACTTGCATCAGCTATGACTCTTTTGTCAGGCAGACTAACAGTAGATGAAGGACAACAGCCAGAATAAAGAGGGAAAGGGGGAAAGACAGAAAAAAAAAAGATTGGAACAGAGGGGTTGATTAGAGTGACAGCAGGTCAGATACTGAGCACCACATACCAAGATTTAAGTGCAACATGGCTCCTTATTAGAGCAAGGCAACAATTCCTGCTCAGAGCTGGCTCCACTGTTCCTGGTCAAGAACTGCAGAGTGGCACCTTGCCCTACAGTCATGACACACAATTATGCTCTCATTTTTTTAAAAGGAAGGTCTCTTCATGCACAAGACGATACAGGCACTTCCCCTCAGCAGGACAGATACAGAAAAGCTTACCCTCTTCAATTAATGGATTAATGCCCCGGGCAGCTTGATAGGAGACACAACCAGCCATAAATGAGAAGATATGCTAGGGAATTAGCTACTTCAAAACCTTTGAACTGTTACAGGTTTAAGTACAAAAGCAAGCACTGAAAGTGCTTTTATCTTATCATATCAGCAGCTCAGGCTTGCTGCAATTCTGCTCTGCTTTATAAACATAAGCTCATCCCCATGATGCTCTGTTCTGCTCCCATGCTATCCTCAGTTTTATTGTTAACCTTCTAGGCTTAAAAGCTTTGGAATGAAATTATAAGAGTCTCTCAGAGAAAAATGTTCACTGCTATTCTCAGTGAGAATTAGGTCTCCCCTCAGTTTAGCTGTTCAGAGCAAGCAGGCAATTTGCCATACTAGAAAGATATGCCAGGTTTCAGAACAACTGCTTGCTACAAATAGATCAAGGCAGGAGACAAAGACATTTCAATGGAAGGACTCGAAGTCCCCGCTGCCGGATGAGGAGAACACAGCTCTGCAAAGAAAAGAACATACATGGCAGAGCAGAGTTGGTGTCCAACTTCTGTTCAGGCATTGACACAAACAAGGAAAAATAACTGCCTACCAGAGACCTCTCCAGCTAAGGCAGTCATCTTGATTTAGTTCACCAAAATGCTGTGTACAACAGAGCAGAGCCATACTCCGTGCAAATGGCCACATTTACCCCCTTCAGCTGGCAGCGAACCTCATAAGATGCAGCCAAGAACCCAGCTAGGCAGATGTCG